TCCGGAGGGAGGTCTTGGTCCGGCCGGCCGGCAGTCACACTGTCCAGGAGGGGACAGCAGTGCCCCCCTCTCTATGGGGAATCCTCTGGGGAATCCTCTCGGATGCACAGAGGTGGCCCTGCCATGTGCCCGGGACGCTTCGTGATGTGGACAGAGGTCTGCTGCTTTTTCCTATTTTTCCGAAGTCCTAAGAGGGCCTAGGAAGGGTCAGGCCCACAAACATTAACAGACCATTTTTTTCCCATTTAAGGGCTCTTCCTGCATCCTGTCCCTGGCTAGTAACTTTGAGACGTCTATTCAGCTGATTACAGTATGTTTTGCTAACCTCTTCCCAGGACACAGATCTTCCCCTTCCAATGACCAGCCTAGGAACTGTGGAACCCACCTGTAACCTACAAGCCGCACGCCCACCCACCCCCACCCGGCTGCTACATGTTCTGCATCTTTGGGCCAGATCAATGGAATTCTCTTCACTCATTTTCCCTGTAAATCTCAGAATCAAATAAAAGGAACTCCTGTCCGTAATCACCCCCAGAAAGGCATGTGTGCCTCCTCTCCGGGCCGAGGTTCATATCTGGCTTGGAAATCAACCGCAGTAATGATTAATTATTACTTTCTACAGTTGGTTATTTTTCTGTCGACAGTGATGAACGCCGCCAAGTGGTTTTGGAGTTCGACTCCGGACCCTTCTGCCGAGCTTCAAAGAAACCACTCCTGCACGTTCTTGCGCTTACACCAGGGCCGCAGCAAGAGCCCGCGGCCTTCGGTGCCCTGACATTGGTGCCACTGGTAAGAACAGAACCACCCCACTGCAGCCCCGGTCGTGGCCAGTGCCGGCCGAGGAGCCGTGAACCAATGACTCGTTCAGGTTGGGCCACATCGTGGAACCCTCCAGGGCTCTCCTCCCTGCCACACCCCCCGAGGAGGCCTTGTTTCAGGAGATGGGGGGAAGGGATGGTGTGTGGCCATCCCCCCGTCACCCAGACACGCAGCGGGCCCTGGGCAGGAAGACCTTTCGTGATCTGGGGGAGAGACCTTGGTGGGGCTTTTCTAGCACACGCCAGCCCATCCTGGCTAGCGGGCCCTGTGTCAGAGCCCCTTCCAGGCTCTGCTCTTGGAAGGCAGACCTCGGGCTCCAGTGTGATGGATCATAAAGACCATAGCCTCTGGGGAACTCAGGCAGCTTAAACTCTGTGGGCCTCGGTTATCTGTCAACTGGCAGTGGCGTAAGGCCACCTCACGTGACTGTCAGGAAGGCGCGAGTTCGTGGATGCAGAACAGCTCCACCAGCCGCATGGTAATGGGTGGAGCGGGCACCACACAGGGGCCGCCCGCCCGCAGTTTCAGTTACTGTGGTCAACCACAGCCTGAAAGTTTTCATTTAGAAATTCCCGAATAATTCTGATGAGCACATACCTCTAGCAATAAAATTGAAAACCTTGTAAACATGACTAATAGAAAAGGGCCTTACGTTTTCACCAAGTTCCACTCTCCTGGAAAGGAGAGACGACACTCTGAGAGTCTCTTCTGTGAGTATCAAACCTGTTTTCCCAAACCTTCTGATGCTTCTGCAGCGATTCACGGTGTGCCTCTATTCCCACCACTGCGTGCTCTGAGAAGCCCACGAGTGGGCGGACACTGCTGCGGCAGCTCCCAGATGCTCCCCAGAACTCGGTGACCAGAGCCCGTGGGCACACGGCTGTCATACAGGGGTGGACACTGCTCAGTAGTCAGAACCGCGTTGCTGGCCACAGCTTCCCCAGGGTGGCCTAAGGCACATGGAGGTGCACTCATGCCCACGGTCAGCAAGGACTTTGCCCGCTGCCACGCTGAGGCCTGAGACCCCTGGGGGCCGTCCCCACTGCTGACTGAGCGGTATCTTGCATCTCTAACCCCAGGCTCTCTTCTTTGAGATATCTCTTAACATGTGAAAACTTTCAGGGGTCTTTTTGGGAAAAGGTGAGCCTAAGTGCCTTTTTAATTTTTAAAAATTTGCATGTGTGCTTGCTGGAGACCAAGAGAGAGATAGAGGGCTAGCAAGAATGCATTCCCCACAGCATGGTCACACCGCAATCCCTTCTCCTCCATCTCTCCCTCTTGCCGGAATTTGGGGTGTGTATACACCCCTCTGGTACATTTCTCAAGCCACCAGTTCCAAGATTTGAACCATGTGGTCAGCCAGTAGGATCCAGCTGCCTTAACCACCAGGCTATGGGCTGGCCCCATTGCTGATAGTACACCTGATATTGACCCAGTTCTTAATGATGCAGTTATATGAGCATCGCACAGGCGGCTTCCCTTTAGCCGTGCACTATTCCACAGCAAACGTTCTGCGTGGCTTTCACTTGGCACTCGCTCTTCTGCAAAGCCTGTTAGAAACATTTGTTACCAGGACCAGCAGTTGGCATAATGGCTACGTCGCTGGACTCCCATGTAGTTGACCATGGTTTGAGTCCCAGATCCGGTGGCTTAAACTCATGCCGGGCATGTGTGCGTGCGTGCCCAAGATCCCGAGAGGAGAATGGAGGAGAAGGGATTGCGGGATGGTCGTCCCCCTGGAGGGTGATTTCTCGCTTTGTCTCTCTGTCTCTCTCTGTCTTTCTGGCGGGGGCATGCATATGCTATGGCCAAAACCTGTCAAAAAAAAAAAATCTGTTACTTAATTTGGCCCTCACAGCAACCCTTACTAAGTGCTGTTATCGCCCCTACGTTAGAGATGGGAAAGTCAGGCTTATTAAGCATTTTAGAAATTGTCTTAGAAGGATGCACTAGTCCAGCAGGGGTCAGTCACCCAGCGCTGCCTGCTTCCCCAGCGCACGCGTTGTCAGGGTGCCTGGGCCTGCACTTTGGCCCCGCATGCACAGCCGGCCGGCTGACGGTGGGAGCGGCCTGTGTGCTGTGGCATATCTACACCCAGTGGTCACGAGGAACAAGGGGTCTCACAGATGTACGATGCTAACAGCAGTGACAGCCCTACGGTGGCAGCCCTACGGCCTACAGCCTCCCGGCGGCTGCCCACCACTGATAAAACGCACACAGACCAGCAAGCCCAGTTAGCCGAGGACGTGACGGCGGTTCTTGGAAAAGGTGTGGAGAAAGGACGTGCAGTGTACACCACGTGGCTCTGAGAGCTGCCTGCCTGAGCACAAGGGCCGGAGCTGCAAGCACAGCAGCTCCATCCTAAGCGGCCGACAGCCTACCCGGAGGATGTCGCCCCATGACAAGAGCACACGTGACTCACAGTGTGGACGGGGGCACAGTGTGGACAGGCTGTTCCTGTGCTGTTCGTCCAGCTCCCGTGTTCTACCACCTGTCACTGCTAGGAGTCCGGACTTACTATTTAAACCCAGGGACAGAGAAAGGGTGCATTTCTGCGCTGGGGATGCCAAAGGACATACAGGAGAAAGTGGCAGCGCCCAAAGGTCTGAGACAGGTGCCCTTGGAAAGACGTTACTGACATGCTGCCCAGGTCAGCAGCCCTGCCACTGCACGGATGGACAGGAGTGGCTGCAGGCATCGCAGGTTCAAGTCCCATCCCAGACCCACCAGACCAGACCAGCTGGTGGCTGTTCGTGGCACTGTTTAGTGCTCTGGATGTTTAATATGGATTCTAGTTTAACACTTGAACTATGGTAAGAGCCGAGAAATCTTAGGGTGCTTTTCAAGTTTTAGGCATTTAGGACACACTCTTGCTTCCTGTAGATGTGACATGTCCATGTTGCCTTCTGTGGGAGAAATGCTCTTCAGGGAAGAGGGTGTCGTGGTGTCACACTGCAGGTTTCTCACCGACCGCCAGAGGCAGGAGCCGCGCAGGCCACCCTACCCCCGCCCCCTTGGCATCTCACTTCCTGAAACTTCGCTAGGAAAAATAAGCAAGGGGCCCCGAGTAATAGCCACGGAATTCGGCAGCCATCCAGGGCCCCAGTTCAAACTCCTTTCGCTCAGATTCTGACCACGTCTGTTGTGTGATTTCGGGAGATTAAAACCAGAGAGGGAGAGGAAGGCTCACAGGTAGTTTGTGGACAGCACAAGGGGTGACAGAACGCAGAGAGAGACATCGGGAACAAGACGGCACAGGGACGTGGCAGGACGTTAGGTTGTCTGGTCTAGAGGAAACGCTCCTTTCATCTGGGCGCATCCCTGGGCAGCACTGAAGTGGCCTGTAGACACGAACGCCTCACCTTTCAGTGAACGGCAGCAAAGCTGGTGGGTGGAGATGTATTCTGGAAGTATTCTAATTAAAATATTTAAAATAAAAACAAACCTTACTTTTCATAAAGGTATGCTAGCCACTGTGGAAAACATGGCCAATTTAATGCCTTATTTCTGGTGTTTCCAGAAGTCTAGTTTTTTGTTTGTTTTGTTTTTTTAGAGGTTTTTGCGATAGGGCGTGTGCACTCACAAGACACAAGAGAGACAGAGAGATAGAAAGCGAGAAATCGCCCCCCAGGGGGTATGGTCACGCCACAATCCCTTCTCCTCCATTCTCCTCTCGGGATCTTGGGCACGCATGCACACGCACCCGGCGTGAGTTTAAGCCACTGGACTAACCGCAGTCGACTACGTGGGAGTTCAGCAACATAGCCATGGTAACTGCTGGTCCCAAAATCTAGATTTTTTAAAAAAAAGAATGATTTAACTTTATTTAGTTATATTTGACCAGAAAGGAACAGAATGAGAGAGAGAGGACTCGCCTGTGATCGCCACGTGGGAGCCCAGCACCCTTAACCACCCCGCCACCTGCTGGCCCTGCGGAAGCCCGAGGCTGTGCTGTAGTGGGCCGTGGACATGACGTTCCAGTGTTTCCTGTCAGGCCACAGTGATTAACATCCCCGCTGTCACCAACGTGCTGGGTTGTTGGATAAGTCGTGATGCATTTTTTTAATGCAAAGATGCAGGACTTTTGCGACAACCCATCGTTTGTCCCTCGTTCTGGAGTAGGCGTCCTGCTGGGAACGCCCTGTGCCTCTCCTCAGTCCCAGCCAAGCGGGCTCCCTGGGGACGCATACCCAGGTCTGGCAGTGTTTGCTGACGCAGACATCATGCCTTTGCTTAGGTCTGGAGGGCTGCGGCATCTAACAGACGGCTGTCCAGCAGGGTCACCAGGCCCCAGTGGGGGCCTTCCTCTATTGCTGGCCCAAAGGGGCCAGGACACCCCGAGACTGGAGGATGGAGGATGGAGAAAGGGCTGCAGATTATGACCTAAGTGGGGAAACTGATGTTCCCCAGCTGGGTGTCGAGCTTGGTCCCAAGAACATCCTGGTTGCTACTGAAATATTGCCTGGAGGACCCTGGCATAATAGGCTCCAGGCCCCATAAGCAGCCGGGCTGCCCGCGGCTCCTTACAGCACTGACATGCCAACCTGGGCCCCCGCAGTCACTTTAGCCTTGCAGATCCAGGGGGGGATGATTCCCGACCTCTTCACTCTGAAAGGAGGACGACATCCACCATGTCCTGGGGGAGTTTATGAACTGCGGCTTTTATTCCGACTCCCCTGCTGGGGGATCCCGAAACAAGAAGCCGACTCGGGTTCCTGGGAATTGCTATCTTGGGGGTCAGACTGCAACGCAGCCTGAGCCGTTAGGATGGCCCCGGGTGCAGGGCATCTGCCGGGCTTACGAGGGGAGATGGGGTGTGCGTGGTGGAGGTGAGAGTCTGCAGCTCTGCACAGCATGTGGTCAGGGGTCTGGCCAGGCAGCAAACCATGCACACGGGTAAAAGCAGACCTTCCCCTTCAGTCACCAGGCTAATGGGCTTGTCTTTCAGTCTGAGCAGCCCACCCCCATCACCCACCTAGGTCATGACAATTCGGATTCGGTCACGAAGGAAACACATACACAAAAAAGTCGGTTTTAACCTGAAATAATTCTGTTGACATTTGAGTTGCTTTCAGTGGGACATTTGCTTTAAACCCCAAGATCCTCCATCTCCAAGTAACCCCGCCCCCACCAGCCAGCCAGAGCAATAAGTAAAACCCAAGCCCAAAATTCAGCTTCAGGTAAATCTGAAAAAAAAATGAGACTTTAAATATTTACATATGGGCCAAGAAACAAATCACAAAAGTATTTACAAAAAATACACAAGCTTATAGGCATTAACAATTTACACCAGTTCACAAAAGTATTAAAACATAAAAAACTATATAAATTAAAGTTAAAAACCCACAGTATGATCTAAGACTTTCTGGGATGCTCATGCAGGTCATGACAGAAACATCAGGCTTGCTGTGTCAGAGTCTACACTGCGAAACATCACCTTTTACTCTCAGAACATGAACGGCGCTGATGCGCCGAGGACAGAGGGCCCCCTGTACACCTGGCACCAGCCCGGGCGGTGAGGCACGCCGCTCCTGACCGGCAGTCCTGGCCCCAGCCTGAGACTCACTCGTCTCGTGGAGACGTCTCCAGCCTCGACTGCACAGAGGCTGGCAGAGCAGGACACAGGGATGGGCTTGTGGCTTCTGTAACTACAGGGGCAAATTTCCACTGACATGAATTGGAGAACCTGCTCTATCCCCATTCATGTCGAATGACCAGTTCTGGAATTTTTCAACCTGAATTTTTAAAAATGCTTTGCTGTGATCAGAAACACACAGGCCCTACCTCTGGCATCATCCCAGGGCTCTGCAAGTTTTAAAGAAACTTGAAAACAGTAAGAAATAAGGCGTAGATGAAACTTATTAGTAAGAAAATGGCACCTCTGGGGCTTTTAGCAAAGTTTCTAGCCAGGCAGCCAGGAAATATTTATTTCAATCAGAATAAACTGGAACCAGGATTTTGCCCAAAAGATCCAATCTGGAGACACAGCGATGAGAAACAGAAGCAAACAGTGGGCTAGTGCTTGAGGCAGCACCGCTCCCAGATCATGTGGTCTGGAAACTGCTGGCACCCTCGGTAACACACACGTGGAGCAAACACGGTGCACACGCGGGTGTGGCCTGCTCACAGGGACTTTCGCCTAGTCCCCACCCAGTGTCAGCAGGGGACACGGGCCAGCTCTCCTGGTTAACCCCGAGGCCAAGGCCGTGGCCTGAACAGCTGCCGAGACGACCCCAGACTCTGCCTGAAGTTTGTGTTTAAGTTGTACCAGTCGCCGTTACTGTTTTCCAAACATTCGTCTGATTTTTATCGTAAGGGAAGTATTAATAATAACCGTTCTGGGGAACTGACTTCAGTATTCAGAACATAGACTTTAGTCTCAGGGCTACTGACATTGCATCGACTTCTTCCACCACCCACCTCCTCCAGGCTCTGTGAAGAACGTGTGCACCGTTCGGGCCAGCCTGGCCTCCTACCCTCCAGGCTGCTGGTGAGAGCTTCCCAGGCCTGGGGGTTCTACAAGGGGCCAGGGACTGGCTACTCCACAGAGAGGGGGTGAAGGTAACAGACCGGTGCTGCAGAGACACCGAGGAGCAACTCCCGCGGGGGGCGGGGCGCCTGGGGTCTGTGCGTCCAACGGCGGTCCTGACTGGCGCTCCTACCAGCCTGACCACGTACCAGCCGGGTCTGGACTCCTAAGGAGGGGCCTAGACTACCCAGAGGCCTGTGCACATGTCAGACTTCTACTTGGTCTGGATAGCATCCTCTGATCATTACTGGGGGAACACAAGAAACCCTTACAGAATATTTCCACATATAAATGTGTTGTTCTTAAAACTTTTTATTTCTTTTTCTAAATATAAACCTTTAAAATGCAATCACATGATTTCTTTTTAAATTAAAAAAACTGGCATGAATCCTAATCTTTATACAATTTCACAGCAATAACAGCAGCATGATTTTAGCCTCTTAAAAGATTTCCTCCTTTGCTCTAAATAAAAGTGAATCCCAAGTCCTAAAACACCAGAGCAGCAACCACCCAGTAACTGGAATGAAATTCTCCCTCCTATTGTCCCTTACAAGCAGTGTTTAAAACTGTGAATGTGAATGTATAAAACTCAAGTATCGGTATTACGAGCTTGGGAATGACAGGGACTCTAAACTCACAGTGTGCACACGGACCACCTCGCTCGTCCGGAGGGTTGGGGCGGGGCGGGGGGGCTGAGGAAGCACAGGGCTGGGTTAGAGGGCTGCCCTGTCCCACTCCGAGAAGAAATGCAACTTCCGAGTGTGTCCTGGGAACGAAGCGCATGGGACACGCCTGCAGTGACAGAGCTGAGCCTGAAATGCTGGTACGGATGGCAAAGACGTGAGACTGGGACCACAGAGCACACTGCGGGCCAACACCACGGGACTCCGTAGGACAGACAGCGACTGCCCCAGCTGCAGCGGGTGAACCGGGACTGCTCAGCAGTTACTGCAGGAGCCTGCAGCTCACCAGCGGACAATCCACAGTGGCTTCGAGGGCTCCCGGGGAGAGAGATGGACAGATGAACTCGTATCCACGACAGACTGTGTGTATCCACCCAGTCGTGGGATGCTGGTTTTATGAACAAGGCTGCTAACTGAGGAGGAAAAAATGATGTGAAATGTTTTACTGTAATTATAATTTACCAAAGATTCCTGGGGTGGGGGCCTGTGTACAGGCAACACAGGACAAGTACAGAAATCCTCTCTACAGTGACGGGAGCCTGGCTGTCAAATTGCGGTGAACCCCCCACTGCGTGAAATAAGAACACGGACGGCTCGTGAGTCAGTGGTCTGACATTTTATACGACTCTCCAATGTTTTAGAGTCTAGATTTTTTATTGTTTAATTATAATGTGGCTAACTGTCGGACTTATCTGAAAGACCAGGAAGTTTTTCTCCACTCTCTTTTCACACACCAGACCCTTCTGGGACAGACAGGGAGAGGGAAGTGAGAACCCCGTCTGTCCCCGGGCAGGCTGTGTGGCCAGGGAGGGAGTGGGACACACAGTAGGTGCAGACGCCTACCAGGACATGGTGTGAGCTGCTCGGAACTGCAGCGAAACCCAAGAAGAAAGGACAAAGCAAAATGCGAATTCTGTTCGAGGCCGTCCTTGGGCTCTCAGCGAGCGACCTGGATGGCAGGTGGTCTGTGACACCGGGACCAGGCTTCAGCACAGTGCTTTGCAATCACCCAGATCTCTCTTAAAGACAAAAGCAATGTATCCCTAGATGGGCGAGATGGTAAGGAAGCAGGGGAGGGGGAAGGTGGCCATTTGTTTACCTTTATGCTTTTTTTTTTTTAATGTGGTCAGGGGTTTTGTAGTGTTTTTGTTTTTAAACTTTTTTGGTTATTGAAAAAAATAGAACAGTCCACTGTCCAGCAGAGGCTGCTTCGACTCTATTGCCCGGGGCTCACTCTGCATGGATCTGTGTCTCAGGGTGCTGCAAAGACAGCTCTGCGGGCAGGAAGGCCCCCTGGCCCAGGGCTGTGGCGTAGGTCCTGCTCTGCGGGTGGGCAAAGCCGGGTGGCACGTACGTGCCCAGGCCTCCCCCTCCAAAGCCTCCTCGCTGGTGCTGGGGCAGGGAGTGGTAGTCCTCCAGGTTGTCGTACTGGGACACCACAGTCGCGCCGGCCTGGCGCTTGTTGTGTGTCTGGTACTGGTACAGCACGCCCGGGTCCCTGTCCATGCTCTGGGCGTGATGAAGTTTCAGGCTGTGGCTCCTCTCCGGCTTCGGGGGTGGGACTGCGGGCTGAGTGAGGGGCTCATCCTCCCGGTAGCAATCCCGGGGGTGTTTCTCTGGGGCAGGAGGCTGTCTGGCCCAAGGCCACTCCAGCTCTTTGGAGAGTCTGGCCTCTTTGTGGTTGGGCCTCGTGGACTCCTGCCCAGGGGCGTACTTCCCTCCAGAGTTGTGGTAGCTGATCGGCTCAGAGGCGTCTGGGATCCCTTTGGACCCATAATCCAACTGGCCGGCTCCCTGGGGGTACGACGGCCCACCCTTGGAGTCACAGAAGTGCCGATGGCTTGCGTCCTGGTGTGCCCTGTGCTCGGCGAGCCCGCAGCCCATGTCGGGCAGCTTCCTGTTCCTCAGGCTGCTCTGCTTCTGCGGGAGGGCCGGCTTCTCGGGCTGCACGCCACCGTGGCTGCCGTGGCCGGGCCCTGTCGAACTCCGGCTCCAGGTGCTTCCGGTAGAAGCGGTCGTCCGCCTCAGGACTGAGAGCCTTGGCCGGGTGCCGCCCCTCCTTGCCCTCTGCCACGGAGAGAAGTCCAGTTTTCCCAGGATCCGACTTACTCCGCAGGTGGATGACGTAGATCCCACCCAGGTCGTCCTGCACGGCCGGGACCATGTTGTCGTACTGGGACGGGACCGGCCCTTTCACCTTCTGCCGCGCGCGGCTCTCCCTGCGGAGGGACTGCATGCGGTACTTGTCCACGTCCTCCAGATCCCAGGACGCGTAGGAGTGCTTCACATCCGCAGCAGGGGGCATGGTGACCATGTTATGGTCAGTACCAGAGAAGTAGCCCGCCGCACTGGCCCGGGGACGTGGTGCTGGCCCGGCATAGCCGTACACGGTCTTCCCTTGCAGCCTGGGGTTGTAGAAAGCGAAGTCGCGATTGGGTGGGCGGTGCGGGGGCCGTGCCTGCACCGTGCCATAGGCGTCCAGGTCGCACAGGGCCCCGTCGGCGCTGTAGGAGAAGCCGGGGGAGCTGGAGTAGGGGCTGTACCGGTAGTGGACCCGGCCATTCTCGAAGTACGGCTGCAGCTGTGTCACGTGGTAATCCGAGCGGGCCTGGGAGGCCTGGTATGGCTTGTACTGGTACAGCGGCCGGGGGCAGTAGGCCGCCTCGTCATCCGGGGGCACTTCTGTCCGTGAGATGGGGACAGAGCGGATCATGGAGGTAGGGGGGGCGTGGAGAGACTGCACCCTCCGGATAGTGGGGTACGGCGGGATGTCCTCGGGGTAGCAAGCACTCCTGACAGAGGAGCCCAGAGGCGGCACGTACTCCATCCTGCTGCACGGCTTGGGGTAGTGTCCAGACACGCTTCTCCCTGGGGCCACGTATGTGTTGTAGCGAGGCCCCACGGCAGTGGGTGGCTCGGACCTGGCACCGTACACTTGGTGTGGCTCCAGTTTGTTGTGGTGTGGGGGGACACTCTGGGAACGGAACTGGCAGCTGGGAGTCATACCGAAATGCACACAGTTTTCTGGGCCAAAGGCCTCAGCGGTGACATCCGGCCTGGCGAAGGAGCAGTAGGCCATTTTCTGGGGGGCGTGCTGCACTTGCGGGCCGGGCAGCGCCTCATCCCCGGGGTCCGACGCAGCGGCGAGGAAGCAGTGGTAGTCTGAGCCGGTGGCTTCTGCGCCAGCAGAGTGCGTAGCAGCAGCCACCTTGCTCTCCATGGTCCTGGTGGGGGGCATCGGTGCAGGGAAGCCACAGGAGTGCATGGGGACAGACTCGGCACGCAGGTGCAGCGGTGGGGCCCTGGCACCGTCCCGCACCTTCTCCGGCAGGCCTGGCTGGAGGGCAGGTGCGGCCACGGGGCCCTGAGCCGGGGCACAGGTGTCGCCGACAAAGACAGGTCCAGGATCTTCCAAGACTCGAGGCTCAGGTGGCCTCTCTGGGGCTGGGACCGTCGCTGGGACCTATTGGGAGATGACAATGTTACTACGGAGTCTGTTTTTCCTGCTCCCTCTGTGGAATCAAATACTGTTAAACTTAGAACTCACAAGAAGGGCTTCAGGGTAGCAGCTCGGACAACCCTGAGCTGTGTGGTTGGTAGCACTGGGCCTGCCCCTGCAGCCTGGAGGGCCGGGCCTGCCCCTGCAGCCTGGGGGGCCAGGCTGCCGTGTGGTGCGCAGAGACTGCTGTCTCTGCCGGCCGGTTCACACGGCGTTGCCGGGACGTGCCGACCCCACAGCACCAGCCAGCTAAACCCACTCGAGCGACACCCAGTCTCAGCGTCAAGGACACTCTGCGACTTTCACGTGTAGAGTTCGCTCTGTCAGCTCTGGAGGATATCTGAGGCGGCTCCCGTGGCACACATGAGCTGTTTCAAGCTCACAAACAAAGACAAGGGCAATACCGCGAGCCGTCGAAGGCGACATCCAAGACAGACCTCTCTCTCCCCTAGCTTCCACTTGCTCTGGGGTATGGACCCACAGGCCCGATCGAAGCACCCAGCTACACCACAAACGCACCGTGCTAGAGGGAGCTCCACGACGATCAGAAATTTAAGTGCTTTTAGTGCCAGGTGACCACAAAGAAACCTGCGGCACTTTTTTAGGAAGAAACTTAAATGTCCCACATACAATATTCTCTCAACAAGGGGTTGCTGGTTAATGTTCAGAAAATAACAAAAATCCAAAAGTATTTAAAAAGTCCGCAAGGCAAGGCTTCCCACTGTCCAGACAAAGAAGCATTTTTGTTTGTTTTTTGGGGTTTTTTTTTGAGAGGTTTTTGCTATAGGGCGCGTGTGCTCACCAGAAAGACAGAGAGATAGAAAGCGAGCGATAAATCACTCCCCGGGGGGGATGGCCACGCTGCAATCCCTTCTCCTCCATTCTCCTCTTGGGATCTTGGGCACACACACACACACACACCAGGTGTGAGTTTAAGCTGCTGGGTCCAGGACTTGAACCGCGGTCAACTATGTGGGAGTCCAGCGACATAGCCATTACGCTAACTGCTGGTCCCCAAAGAAGCATTTTCATGGTGCGGACACGCCTGATTTCAGAGGGTGGTTAACGGCATGCTCAGAGGCACGGCTCAGCGATGCAGTTGGAAGAACGCATGTCAGCCCACAGCCCTGACCCGCCTGTGTGAGCTCTTTCTCTGTACAACTATGGACAGGCTGCTGTGACCCTTCGGGAGAGTTAAGCTACAGTCCTCACGGGAAACGCGGATGGCAGCCTCCAGGTGAACTGTCCACGGGCCTGCCACAAGACGGAGCAGAGGTGGTGTCCAGCCCCGAGGCCACACACACCTGCTGGAAAGGACAAGCCTCTGGGCTACACGCACCCCACCCCGCCGACCCCCTTACCTTGTGGGCGTTACTGAACCCCATGCAGGCTGTAGCTGGTCCCGGCCCCACAGCTGGCAGCTGCTCTGCTGGCCTCTGGGGGGGCGGGGCGGGGAGGGGGCGGTTAGTTCTATGCGTGCGCTGCAGGGTGGCGGCAGTGACATCGGCAGTGCTGGCTTGTCCAACCACGTCCCAGGTGGCCTCCCTGATGCTGATCCCAGCTGTCACTGGAGTAGCTGTCACGTAAGCCATGGCCGCCGTGCTGGCGTTCTCTTCAAGGGACCCAGCATGACGGTGCGTCTTGTCCCGAGGCAAAGTGGCAGATCTGTCTGCGAGTTCCGGGAGGTGACGGGGCTTCTCTGTGCTCGCACCGAGCTGAGGCGGCGGCTGATCTCCACTGCAGAACCGGAGCAGAGCCTGGTCCTGAGCGGCAAAGGTGACAGGCAGCACACTGGCCTTGCCTGGATGGTCTGCGGGGCCTCGCGCGTGGTCGCCAGGCTTCTCGGAGTCTGTTAAGGGAGCAAAGGTGACTCTGGCCTTCTCCTGGTCCCCAGACAGGCAGGGGCGGGGTGGCTGACCCCCCGGCAAGTCTACATGGTGCTGCTGCTCCCCAGGCTCGGTGGCGTTGGCACGGGCTTGGTCTCCAGCTGCGGTGGTCTCTGGCAGAGGCTGGTCCCAGCCCCCCGGGGCACTGTTCTGGTGGGGGACCTGTTCTGCCGGCCGATCTGTTTGGAAATAGGCCTGATCTAGAGCCACGCTACAGTAAGCAGCAGGCGGCTTGTCTCCGGCTGTCGCCATGGCCACGTCCCCGTAGTGTGTGTGCCCAGCCTGAGCAGCCCCAGGTCTCTTCAGTGACTGAGTGGAGGCTTGCTGCGCAGACTCTGCAAGGGCTAGTGCCAGCATTCGGGCAACGCTTTTCGGAGGCGGCGGTGGTGGGATAAGAGAGACTGAACTGACGGGAACGGGGTCCTGAGGGGGGTCATGGGTAACTGCTCCTAGTGGGAAATCGGGAGAAAAAGTGAGAGTGAACAGGAAGCTTAGGGTACCCATCTGGAAAGCAACACACTCCCCACTCGGTCATTAACAACCGGAGCCTTCCACATTTCAGAACGGCAATCCACGGTCTTCTACCCCACATGCAAGGCTGGAGGAAACACCTCTGCTTCAGAAGGCAAACGGAAACAAAGAGCGGCTAAAGACTGCAGCCCCCTCTGGCACTGCTTACAGAGGTGGGAGACAGCAGGCCCCTCGCCGCCCGGGGAGGGCCGCCCGGAACACCAGCTGCGTGTGCTGCACATCAGCATTAACCACAGTTTCACACGGATGGCGCAGGCTGGCTTGCGACCTTGTAAGTCTACAGTAAAGGGTACTTTACTAGCAAAGAAAAAGGAACCAAGAGCTATGAAGTTGTGCAAAAGTTACCCACGAATTCTCACCATCCAGAGAGATACGGGGACTCTGTGGCGGTCGGACGCAGGCCCACTGGCCCTTTGGGGAGTTCTGCTTGACTTTAATTTATGGCTCGAGCCATCAGC